AACCTGGAAGTGTACAGAAGCTGACCATGCCCACTGTTTTGGTTTGCAAGCTCCATTAAAACAAGCTCCCAGGTACCTTCTTTTGACAACAGAACTGCATGAAAAGAAGGTAACGACCCCCCACCCCCCACCCCCAATCTGGTTCATGTCCACTGTGGGCACTGCTTTGGCCATCTTGGGCTGTCTACAAAATCACAGCTGGAAACTTTGCCCAGGTCTTGGCCAGTAGCTGTCTGTTGTGCTTTCCTATAATCAAAGCAGTTTTAACTCACAGACGCTGTGCCAGCTGCTGACCAGGCTTGGAAGCTCGAGAGGTATAACCCTAAATAGGTGGATTGATAATTTAAGATAAAATAATAAACTATTTGGGAAAGGTTACAGTTGTGTGACACCGATAAGAGATTATTGAGGAGGAGGAGTAGTAGTAAAATTTTGTGTAGCCATTGGCCATTACAATTTAAAACAGTATGCAAATTAGACAAATAAGAGATGATTGATTTTGTCTTTTTTGTGTAGGATTTAGATTTAAATTTGATTTAGATTTAATAAGCCTATGCACCTGCGCCTGTATTAATTTCAGGATTAAGTGCTTCTGGTAGCAGACAAGAAGAAAACATTATTTTCTTGGCTGGATAGAGGGAGGGCGGGTTGTAACTATGGATGGATTTACCTAATATTACTTGAGGTGTAAAGTTCATGTGCCTCAGCTATTGAGACAAGGCTCCAACAAGTCTGGGTCAGAGGGACATCTGCTCCTTATCTGAAAGCAACACTTTGTGCTTGGGTGTGAAGGATCCTTGGTTAAAGTCGAAGAAGACCTCTTTGTCCTATTAAGACCCTTTGTCCTAATTAAGATACGGTGTAGCTACCCCTCTTGTTGTAACTGATCAGTCAATGTATGCCTACTCAAATGATGCCTTATTATCTGTACCAGTGAAGGCTGCCGTATGTTATCTTTTTGCTTGTGTCATTTTGTTCTTCTTTGTATTATTGTCAGACTCTGTCTTTAGTTTGCCATGGTTTGTTAGGGGGGAGGGAAATTCCTGGTGTGTGTGTGTGGGTGGCTGAGCGTGTGAACCGTAGACGCTGTAACTCTTTCTCCTCAAGATGCCTTCCTTGGCCAGGGACGACCTTGAAGCCAAAACTGTGCCTGCTTTGCTGTCTTAGGTAAGGGATCCATATATTCAAAGGTGTGTGTGGGGTGTAGGAAGCGTGAATGCTAGGCGGGACATTTGCAGAGTGCGATTGCATGTGCTGGAGGGGGGGGGGGTTTGTTTGAACTGTGTCTATATCTTTGGATTCTCCCGCCAGAACTCCAGTTCTGACATAGTACAGGTCTGGCCTGGAACCTGATTATTTCTCAATAAACAAATCACTGCCAGAGAGTGTTTTTGAGAGTAACTTTGTCCAGGACCGATTTCCCACAAGCTGCTGCTCCGCGCCGGCTCTTCCCTTTGCCCCGATCGTACATGTTAATTTCACACCATGTACTGCGCGGTCGCATTTTGCCCTGCAGCTTCGCCGGAGTTCCCCCGCGTCTACTCAATATTTATAATGTGTGAAGAATTAATTAAGTACATGGCACACTCTTTGAAGTGCAAACAAAATACATATTGAAACTGTATTTTGTATGCACTTCAAGTAGACATTATTCATTGCATTTACAAGTTGTTTGACTGTTGATACTTTGGGGTCTGATGCTCACGGTTGTTTTTTGAAACTCTCTCTAACACTAGACCATGTTTATCATTATTGTCTTTTGTTTAACGCTCTTTCAAGAGGCGTGGTTTTAAAAATGTTACTGCTTTTAATATTTCTGTTTTACTGTTAAAATAAAAATGTGCTACACGCTTTGGCACTTGTGATTCTTCTTTTGCGAACATTATTTGAACTTTGCCAATAGGGAAACATTTTCAGGGAATTTTCCGATTCAGATGTTCCTGGAAAACTCATGTCTGCAGTATATCCAAGGGGAAGTCAGCAGAGATAAAAGTGACAGTAGTTGCCAGTGAGGGAGCTAGCATGCCTGTTGAAACGGTGGCCCAGGATGCCCGTTTGGCATTCAGTGGATTTGGGCAGGAACAACTGGCTGCCTCTGCAAGTGGTGAGCCTGAAAGGGACTGGGCTCCTCGGGGTGCTTTGTCCTGGCAGCTTGCAAAGGGCTGGTTCATCTTTCAAGGAGTTGCTGACTTAACTGCTTTGTAACCGAGAAAGGGAGCTTTAATTAGGGCCCATCTCGGCGAGGTGCAACAATATCTGCTCTTAGGTATTTTTTAAAAACTAGTTAGCCGCCTCTGGCACTTGCTATAAATGTGGGGGAGAGGGGGTCATTGGGTGGGAAGGTGTTTACCCTCTTGTTTCTCTGTTTCTTCCCCAATTTAAAACGTCCCTTGGAAGCTGCAGTTATCTCTTGGGGGGGGGGAGGCAGGTACAAGTCCTTGACTATGCCCCTCGCCTCCCCAGAGAAGAGGCATGGCAGGAAAAGGTTAAGCACTTCCACTTTTCCTCGCTCTTCCAAGCTGGCGCCCGGAATTGCCTGCCGACTAGCTTTTCAGAAACACCTGCTGTTTTCCGTCTTCTCCAGCTTTGGTCCTTGGAGATCCCTCCCGCCGACAAGTATATAGACTGCACTGGTTGTTGGCGCTGTGTTCCAGAGCGTATTCCAACCTGCTAGGCATACCAGAGAAGGCGCAAGCAAACTGCTTGGCAGGTAACGAAGAAGGAAAAACTGCACAGTAAGGAGATCGGCCCCCTTCGCTCATAGCCCTGGAAAGTGCTGCTGGCACCAGCTGTCTGGGAGGCCCAGAGAAATTATCTCTTCGATTGTTGGACCCTTCTGGTCCTCCAGTGGGTGGAACTCCCCGCGGACTTTCTCCCAAGTACATGACTGGCACAGTGACCTTTGATGCCTGCTGGGTCAGCAGCGCTGCTTGCCTCATCCTTCTAGCTGCTGCTTTTCCTGCACTAAATGGTCTGTCACTTCTCCTGCTCTTCCTGTTGCTTCCTTAAATATTTCGGAGAGTTTTGAGGGTCATCTGTTGGTGAGTCTATACCTTGCTTTCTCCAGTCCCCTTTTGTCTATGTGTCAGTTAAACGCGAGCTTTGGGGAAATGTACATTATGGCCTTGGCTTCCAGGAAAGTGATGAAATTTTGTTTGCACTTGGCAGTAGGAAATAAAAACATCATTGTTGAGTAATCTGTATGAATCTGAACCAGATCTTCTAAGAGTGTGAGACTATGGGGTTTGTATTCACATTGGCTCCGTCTTTTGTACAGAGTGAGTTTCTGGACACTTTAGTTCTTGGTGGAGTCAGTGTCGTCAAGTCATTGCCGACTTACGGCAACCCTGTAGGGTTTTCAAGGCAAATGAGAAGGTGGTTTTCTATCGGATATTATAGCATTGAGAAAAGTGCAGAAAAGGGCAACTAGAATGATAAAAGGGTTGGAACACTTTCCCTATGAGGAAAGGTTAAAGCGCTTGGGGCTCTTTAGCTTGGAGAAATGACGGCTGAGGGGTGACATGATCGAGGTTTATAAGACTATGCTTGGGATAGAGCAGGTTGAGAAAGAGGTACTTTTCTCCCCTTCTCACAATACAAGAACTTGTGGGCACTCAATGAAATTGCTGAGCAGTCGGGTTAGAATGGATCAAAGGAAGTCCTTTGGTGTAATGGTTAAGTGCGCGGACTCTAGTCTGGGAGAACCGGGTTTGATTCCCCACTCCTCCACTTGCACCTGGCTGGATGACTTTGGGCAAGCCGTAGTTCTGATAAGAGCTGTTCTTGAAAAATAGTTTCTGTCAAGAGCTCTCTCAGCCCCACCTACCTCACAGGCAATGTTCCCTCTAAGCTGTGTAGTCTTGTGAGCAAAAATTCTACCTTGTGAGCTACTGGTATTAAAGTTGTGAGCGAGTGGCTTGGCTACTGCATAATTTAGTTTGCTCTGGAGCCATCCTTCCTGAGCTACGACAAAAATGTGTGAGCCAGAGGCTAAAAAACTGAGCTAACTCACACTGACTCAGCTTAGAGGGAACACTGCTCACAGGGTGTCTGTTGTGGGGAGGGGAAGGGGAAGGAGTTTGTAAGGTGTTCTGAGACTCCTTTGGGTAGTGAAAGGCGGGGTATAAATCCAATCTCCTCCTTCACCCCAAGAGTGGTTAACACGTGGAATTCACTGCCACAGGAGGTGGTGGCAGCTACAAGCATGGACGGCTTCAAGAGGCAATTAGATAAACATACGGCACAGAGGTCCATCAGTGGCTGTTAGCCACAAGGTATAGATAGGAACTCTGGGGCAAGTGATGCATTGTATTCTTGGTGCTGGGGGGGGGGCAACAGTGGGAGAGGTTCTAGTGTCCTGGTCCCACTGATGGACCTCCTGATGGCAGCTGGTCTTTTTGGCCTCTGTGTGGCAGAATGCTGGGCTGGATGGGCCATTGGCCTGATCCAACATTGGCTTCTCTTATGTTCTTAACAGAGCCCACTTCCCCAGTGGGATCCCATCCAAGTGGTAACCAGGGCTGGCCCTGTTGATCATTTGAGATCAGATAGTTCCTTATAAATGGCTAATGTGCCCCATAGGCTGACGAGTTCTTTGCTTCTTTCCCAGCTAGTTAAGAGTCAAGGTCGTATGTCCTAGAGAGCACACTAGGAACAACTAAAGGTAAAGGTAAAGGTTCCCTTGCTCAAAAGCCAGTCGAGTCCGACTCTAGGGCTGCGGTGCTCATCTCCGTTTCCAAGCCGAAGAGCCAGCGCTGTCCGAAGACGTTTCCGTGGTCATGTGGCCAGCATGACTAAGCACCAAGGCACACGGAACGCTGTTACCTTCCCACCAAAGTGGTACCTATTTATTGACTTGCAATTTCTTGCTTTCGAACTGCTAGGTTGGCAGGAGCTGGAACTAGAGACGGGAGCTCACTGCGTCATGCGGCACATCCGGGTCTCAAACTCGGCCTTCCACAGCCTGCAGTTCAGCGTCTGAACCACTTGAGCCACCGCAGCTCCTAGGAACAACTAGAGAGATGCGATTTCTAGAAATGTTGAAGCCCTTGACGGTTCAGCTGGGGGTTAGGGGATGTGGCTTTCCTTTCATGGGGGGAACTCAGAAATTTGTGGGGAGAGTGAAAGATGTCATACTTGTTTTCTTATCAAGTCTAAACTTATTTTACTGCTCTACCAACATGAAACGCATAATTTATAACTTGGTGTATGCAGTGGCAACATTTGGCATGTTTATGACATTCAAACACGTAAATGTCTCTTCTGTGAGCAAAACTTAACTTTACAGTTAAACTGTAGCATTGAAAACTAACTCGTCCATAGCCTATTCTCATCAGCATACTAATTTTGGACACGGCTCGTTCATCCTAGAATTGTTGAAAATAATACTGTGTTGTGTTTACTCAAATACAAGACTGTTTTCCCCCCAGGTATGCCATCAAAAAAGATGGAGTTTTGAATGAGTAACGTATTACCTTAAAGAAAACACCCTACTCTAATGAAAAAAAATATCTCTTTTGGAATAATTGAAAAGCTTTTAAGGTATTTTAGATTTCCAGTTTTTCTCTTGGGGTGTCCTTGACTGGATGGGGACCTATTTGTTCCAGATCTTTACATCTCTAGGACGTGTTAGAATGCCCCCCCCCCCCGGAAGCTACAGGGACATGGAGCCACTCCTAAGAGTGGTATCCCCAAGTTTTTGTGCCCCTCGCATTCAGCCTGCCCAATGATTACTGTTTGTATCCTGGATTAAAGCACCCTCATACATTTGCTCCTTGTCCTGTAATGGAGAGATCCTGTTGAATCTCTTCCCTTTGTAGTTAAGGTGGGTTTCTCCTGTGCTAAGGACAGTTCGTGTGTTTGCATTCTTGTTGTTCAACCCACACTTTTAATGTGCAGTTGTGCTTTGCTTGAATTCCCAGTCTAAGCCCATTGTCCTCAATCCAGGGAACTGCAAGTATAGCAGAGTGTTCCCTGCCTGTCATACAAGGGGCCGTGGCACAGCATCTGCTTGGCCTGCAGAAGATCCCAGGTTCAATCCCTGGCATCTCCAGATAAAAGGGACCAGGCAGGAGGCGATGTGAAAGACCTCGACCTGAGATCCGGGAGAGCTACTGCCAGTCTGAGTAGACAATATTGAGCTTGATGGTCTGGCGTTCTGATTAAGCTTCGTGCTAGTCATCCGTTGGCATCCTCGGAAGAGGGCTCTGGGTTGTGGTTTCGTGTGGTCGAGCTGGGGCATTTGGGCTCATATGCCTTAACATGCTTCAGGTGATAAGAGACAGGTTCCACGTATAAAATGCTTTGGATGCCCAGGAGGGTTTTCTTTTGTGCCAATGGTGAGCATTTCACGCTTGAAAATCTGTATCCGCGCGGGGATGATGGAATCTGTGCTTCCGAATGTTGAAAGGGGCCTGCAGGAGTAGCCGGTACAGTCACGTCCCACGTGCCTTGGGTTTTTAACCAGTGTGTCGTAGGAAAGCTGCCTTTTTAGCCTCCCTGGTCAGTAAACTTCAAGCCTCTCTCTTAGTTGATTGGCGATTTGATGGGTCCTGCGCTCTGAATGTTGACGCCCTCTCCTCAGCCTTGTAAACCTTTTGTTTTTCAGCCGGTAAAGGCAATGGAAGTCAGCGGCCAACTTTGCATCCGGCGCTGGTCGACGAGGCACGTAGCCAAATGGCTGAAGGATGAAGGGTTTTGCGAATATGTGGACGTTTTGTGCGACAAGCACAGGCTGGACGGGATCACGTTACTGACCCTGACCGAATATGACTTGCGGTCTCCTCCCCTGGAAATCAAAATTCTGGGCGACATCAAGAGACTCATGCTCTCCATACGCAAACTGCAGAAGCACCACATGGAAGTTCTGGAAGAGTTGGGATACAGCAGCGAAGCCCCCCTGGGCTCTCTCTCGCCCGCCGCCTCCCCTCTCCAGGGAACGGACTGGTTCTGCAATGGCGAAGCGCAGCGGGACTGCGACGACTGCGAGCCCGTGGTCGACCTGAGTGCTGAGCCGTACCAGTACGCCAACGGGAAGAACAAGCACCCTCCGCGGAGGCTGGACCCCGAGTACTGGAAGACGGCCCTGGGTTGCATCTACGTCTTCATCGTGTTCGGCTTCACGTCGTTCGTCATGGTCATCGTTCACGAGCGCGTGCCGGACATGCAGACGTATCCGCCGCTGCCGGACATATTCCTAGACAGGTGAGTGACGTGCAAAGGAAGGTTCTCTATTAAGGTAAAGATGGTTTCAGGGGCCAGCTCTGTTGGTCTGCACGAGAACTGCTAGATGTGAGCAGGGCTATTTTTGGACAGGAACGCACAGGAACGGAGTTCCGGCTGGCTCCCAAGTTGGCCACGCCCAGCAGGAACTCCTTAGCATAATAGGCCACACCCAACAGCAGAAACTCACTAGGATTGGCCTAACATGCAAAGGAGTTCCTGCTACAAAAAAGGCCCTGGTTTTGACAACAAACAAGGTAAACAAAACAACAAGCAAAAGGTGGGTGTGGCTGGATAACCACACTTCTGGTAACATGGAGGTGCGGCCTAATATGCCAATGAGCTGTGCTGTCAGGGGTGTGGCCCAATATGCTAATGAGTTCCTGCTGTTGGGTGTGGCCTATTATGCTACTGAGTTCCTGCTGGGCTTTTTCTACAAAAAGAACCCTGGATGTGAGTCCAGTCGTGCCTTAGAGACCAGCAAGATGTCCAGGGTTATCAGTTTCCCTCCACTCTAATCAAGCGGGATGGCTGTGTGCCTCGTGCCTTGCCCCCCCTCCCGTGTCCTTTCTTTCCCACTTTCTGACTGGGAGATGAAGGACTTGGGGGGGGGGGGTCTCCGTTCCTGCTGCTGTCTGCAAAAGGGATCCGTAGGGCCATCGTGGAAGGATGGAGATCCTGCCAGGGGCTGTTGCCGCCGGGCTCAGGTTCCCTGGAGCATTCGGGCTAATGGCACGGAATAAAAGCTGTGGGCTAGATAGGCCGGAGTGGGGTGGTGTGGGGTGGTGCATGCCGCAGAAGTGTGCGTTCTGCATGCCGCTCTGCTTGCAAGGAAGGAATGTAGGGGGGGGCAGTCGTCCAGCCAAGGCATGGCTTGGGGCGGCACAGGAAGGAGGCTGCCAAGGCACTGCAGCGGCTCAGCCCCCCGCCAGCCCCCAGTGGCACGAAAGGCGAGTGGCTTCACTTCCTGGGCCTGTCTCCATGGCTGGTGGCCGCAGGGGCCCGGGAGGCAGCGGCTGGCGACTGGCTGGCGGTGGCTGAGGTCATGTGGGGTGACGCAGTCTTCTGAACCACCCCGCAGGGAAGCATCTGCTTTAGAAGGCCTGCCAGAAGGAGTGTGGTGTTAATCCTTAGTGTTTCCCAGATTTTTCCTGTTTGTTATTGCTGGGTGGCCGTAAATAACTTAACTTGGGGGGGGGGTCACGTTTTCCTAGGGCATCTCCTTCTCCCCAGAAAGTCAAATCCCATAAACCTACTTGCCTGTTTTGCCAGTGGTGCAGACCTGTGGCAGGGATGTGCAGAGCAAAGATAAGCGTTGGCTGTGAGCTGCTGGTGCTGCTGGCTCTGCCTTCTAAGAGCCTGGTGTGAGACTGCTCCCTCCCTCCCCCCCCCTCCGCTGGGCTTAGCAAAGGGAAGGGGGAGTGTTTTCTCCTTCTGGTGAGGCCTTTTGTGGGAGAGCTGCCCGCAGCAACAAAACCCAGTGTGGGCGAGAGTGGGCACCCCAAGAGCAGGGCCCCGTGAGATGTCCTCTGTCTGTTCATTGTCACATTTTGTGTCCCTCTGCAACAGCTCCCAAATTTAAACATTTCGATTTGAAAGGAGAAAGAAGTGGAATTTTCCAAAGAAAAATCCATGAATACCTCCAAAACATCTTCCGGCTGATCTGTGCACCTTTGTGAGCCGCTAATAGGTGTTCCGCACCCCTTGCTGGGGGAGAGGCAGGTGGGAGGGCATCGGAACGCCTCAATCCACCGGCACTGTGCCGGGAGAGAGGCGATCCTCGGCGCCCCATGGCTAGAAACCCATCACCAAGGCTCCAGGGGGACACATACAGTCGCACTCCCTCTCCATCCGCTGGCTCACGGATCACGTCCTCGGGAGCTCCCGAGAGACGCGTCCGCCATTAGGTCGCCGAAACCGGAAGTCTGCAACTTGGTTCTCTCTTGGGTGTTGGGGGCCAGATGTCATGGGAGATTCCTGTGGCTACCCAAAATGCTATCCCAATTCAGGGGTTTTCTTCGCCGTGTCCCTGCTTTAACATGTTTAAGGATCCCTCTTTTTTTTTAACAGATCAGAGTTTCCTGTAAAGCTGGGTTTCCCCAGCCTTGCAGAACCCTAAAGCAGGGGTCCCCATTCCTTCAATTGATATCTTTGCTTGGGGGCAGCCGCTCCACATTCTTTGAGCCTGTGGGCACCTTTGGAACTCTGACACAAGGCGGTGGGCGCAACTGTCACCATGACCGCTGCAGGACAGAGGGCGAAATGCACGGAGGAAGCCCAAGGGCAGGGGAGAAGAGGGGCATTTAAAAATATGCTTGGAAAGAGGGGACGAGAGAGAATAAGGCGGACACGAATGGTGGCAGCGGCCACTGAAACGAAGTGGCTTTAATCGGCACAGCCTATCAGAAGCCCTGCTGGACAATAGCCCCATCTGGCCCCGCCTACGTTCTAGAAACACTTGGTGGGTGCCGTGTTGCAGACCCCTGCCCTAAATCATAGCACCATTCGGCCTTGCTGTACAGATATCTGCACAAGGAACTGGCCTTTGGCTGTAAGGCATAAGGCACAGTAAGCAAGCGATGTAAAAAGAGAGCGGTAGAAGCTGAGCAGATGAATTACAACAATACTGAAGGACGGCTATTGTTCCAGGGTGGAATTTCTATGGGCGGAGGGAGCGTTGGGAGGCAGTCGGGCTACGGAACGCTGAAAGGCTATAGCCAGCAAAGCAAGGCCAGAGGGGAACAGTAGCCCATTGTCTCAGAGACAGACTGCCAGAGGACCCTTTGTAGGAATGAAAAGGCTCATGACCTTAGCTGAGTTCTCTGGCATGGTGAGTCGGTGGTGATGTTCCCGTGCTTGCAGTCTCCCGAGGAGCACGGGTGCCTGTCAGTGCCTGCCAGTCAGTTTGGGAAGCAACGTCAGGGTTTTGCCAGCCCACAAGCCCCGTCTTTCACGTGCCCGTTTATCACTTGCTGGGAATGGACAGGGGGTGATGCAGCGGCAGAATTAGATGAAAGGAGCTCTTCTCCCCGATCTGATGTCAGAACATCCATGGCTCAGTCTGCGGCTGTCACGTGCAATGCTCCCTCTAAGCTGTGGAGTCTTGTGAGCAAAAATTCTACTTTGTGAGCTATGGGCATTAAAGCTGTGAGCGAGCGATTTGGCTGCTGCGTAAATTAGTTTGCTCTGGAGCCCTCCTTCCTGAGCTAAGACAACAATGTGTGAGCTGGAGGCTAACAAACTGTGAGCTAGCTCACACTAACTCAGCTTAGAGGGAACACTGGTCACGTGTATCACGATTTACTTTTCTCTGGGATGGTTCCCCTGGTGCTTCGAGGATGCTCTGAATGGTCGCCTAGCTGTTCTGGTCCCAGTTTTTAAAGCAACTCCGTACAAGAGGGAGAGCTGTGAGCACCCTGAATTGTTTAAGGCTCGCATAGGCTTGTGGAGCTGGAAGGGGCTTTTAACAGAGCGTCTGGTTCCAGTCCCCTGCTTAAATCTAAAGGTAGAGCACCCCCTCCAGATGGCTGTACAGCTTCCCGTGAAGGAAAGCCCACCACCCCGGTTGCCGTGTGGTCCCATTGTTTAATTGCTTTCTGTTACAAGCCCTTGAGAGCACCAGTTTAGTGTAGTGGTTAAGAGCGTGGACTCTAATCTGGGAGAACCAGGTTTGATTCCCCACTTCTCCACTTGCACCTGGCTGGATGACCTTGGGCAAGCCATAGTTCTGATAAGAGCTGTCCTTGAAAAAGAGCAGTTTCTGTCAGAGCTCTCTCAGCCCCACCGACCTCACAGGGTGTCTGTTGTGGTGAGGGGAAGGGGAAAGAGGTTGTCTGTTGTGGGGAGGGGAAGGGAAAGGAGTTTGTCAGCCGCTCTGAGACACCTTTGGGTAGTGAAGGGCGGGGTATAAATCCAATTTCCTCCTCCTCTTCTTCTTCTTCTCCTTCTTCTCCCCCCCTCCTCCTCCCCCCCCCCCCCTCCGTGATGGCCGCTCTGATCTTTGAAGAGCCCAGTCACGTCACACTAACTCTCTTCTCCAGGCTAAACAGGCCGCGTTCCTTCGGCCGGCCTTCAAAGAACTTGTCTTCCCGTCCCCGACCTTCTCCCGCAGCAGCCTCTGAACCTGTTCCGTTTTGTCCTGCCGAGAGCTGGGTGCAGGACTTCGGAAGCGGTCTAACTAGCGTAGTGCGGAAGTGTGGCTTCTCGTGGCCTGGAGACCGTCCTTCTGTTCGTGCATTAGCCTTTTTCTTTTCTTTTCCTTTTTGGTGGCTGCCTCCCAGTGCCTGTTTGTGGTCGGCTTGCCACCTCCTGCAGCTCTGAGATCCTCTTCACCTGGACGGCCGCGAGGCCAGGTATCACCCATCCTGAGCCAGCCCGTGCCTTTGAGTCTCTTTGAAGAACTTTGCATTGTTTCCAGGGATTTGTTTGGGGCTCAGAGCTACAAGGAAAGACTTAGGGGCTTTGAAGTCTAGGCGAAATATGACTAAGATCTCATGAAGCTGCCTTATACTGAATGAGAGACCCTTGTTCCGTCAAGGCCGGTCACAGAGGCCAGAGCGCTTGAAGGGAGGAGTACGGAGCAGAAGTGGGCGCATCCCAGAGAGCCAGTTTGGTGTCGTGGTTAAGTGCGCGGACTCTGATCTGGGAGAACCGGGTTTGATTCCCCACTCCTCCACTTGCACCTGGCTGGATGACCTTGGGCAAGCCGTAGCTCTGATAACAGCTGTTATTCCCCCTCCCCAAAAAACAATTTATTAGGATATATTATTAGTTCAAATACACAACATGTTATTATTTATTACACATCCTTTCTTCTCTCCGGGGAATGGATAATAAGAGCTGTCCTTGAAAAAGAGCCGTTTGTGTCAAGAGTTCTCTCAGCCCCGCCTACCTCACAGGGTGTCTGCGGTGGGGAGGGGAAGGGAAAGGAGTTTGTCAGCCGCTCTGAGACACCTTTGGGTAGTGACGGGCCATGGGGTAGAAATCCAATCTCCTCTTCTTCTTCTTCCTGCCGCAGGAAGACTTGATGTTCAGACTAATCAGTGAATTGCCTCATTTTCATGCTCTAAGGGCGTTTGTAGACATTGTTTTCTAGTGCGTGCTGTCTTCGGAACATGATGTACAGAAGGGACTGGATCCATATATTTAAAAATATTATGTATTAGAAGAAGAAGAAGTAGTAATTGGATTTATACCCCGCCCTTCACTTGGAGTCTCAGAGCGGCTTACAAACTCCTTTCCCTTCCCCTCCCCACAACAGACACCCTGCGAGGTGGGTGGGGCTGAGAGAGCTCTCTCGAGGACTGCTCTTGAGAAGAAGAAGAAGAAGCGGTTGGATTTATACCTCGCCCTTCACTACCCAGAGGAGTCTCAGAGCGGCTGACAAACTCCTCTCCCTCCCCACAACAGACAGCCTGTGAGGTAGGCGGGGCTGAGAGAGCTCTGACAGGAACTGCTCTTTTTCAAGGACAGCTCTTATCAGAACTACCGCTTGCCCAAGGTCATCCAGCAGCTGCAGGTGGAAGAGTGGGGAATCAAACCCGGTTCTCCCAGATTAGAGTCCGCGCACTTAACTACGACACCAAATTGGTGGTGTATTAATAGCCTACAGGAGTGTGTGTATGAGTGGGAGGACGTCTTTTCTCATTTCCCTGCCTTTAAAAAGAGGGTACGAGCATCCTTAAATTGGGAAGAAAACAGAGCCTGAATCCAGGAAAGAGTTTCAGCTGAGGAGCTGCAGAAACGTCTGAATAGGTGAAAGAAGGGAATGATGCATCTGCCCGGAAAGGAGAGAGCAAAAATGTCTATGAACAGCCAGGCGGGTTGGGCAGATCTACAGGGAGATGACGGCTATAGATATTATGAAGGTCATTCTAAGCCTTGAGCACATCTGCTTTGTGCATCTCTCAAGATGAGGGTGGGGGAAGAGAGGGGCACCGTTTTATTGAGCACGCTTACGTGTTCCGTGCAGGAGATGTCCTTGCAGGTTCCGCAGTCCCCCAGCAGAAGCCAGTCTCCCCATCACCACCCCCAATCTCTAGGGCTTTTTCATTTTTAAAGAATTAGCAAATTAATTTTGTTAGATCACAATAAGATTATAACAGCCTGTGTATCAAATTCTCTTTCATTTCCAGCTTTCGTTTTTTTAAGTCTGTAGCGTCTAGCCCTTTTCATTGTGGAGATGCACCTTTCTCCTTGTATCTCTGGCTGGTGGGTCCCAGATCTGCACGTTTGGTTTTGCCACTGTAACCATCCCCCCATCATTGTTAGAAGAGAAGTGAAAACCTTGCATTAAAATACCAAACTCATGAATTGAGGTACTGATTATGAGTTTTTTGTTGATCAGCCAAGCTGTTCTGAATACCCACTTTGTATCTTATTTATTTAGTTTGATTTTATCCCATCCTCCCTCCCCCACACGCAGGCTCACTGTGGGTTACAATCACAAGGTAATGATATGATTTAGATAGTTAAAACCAGGGGTCATTTCCTGCAGGAGCACACAGGAGCAGAGCTCCGGCAGTTAAAGAGCCCAGGGGGTGGGCACATGCAACAAGCCCCGCCCCCTGCTCCCAGCAGCCCTCAGTCAGAGCAAGAAGCAGCCAGGTAAGTTGCAGAGCTCCCCCTGGGGTCCAGTGGCACCTTTAAGACCAAAACAGTCCAGTGGCACCTTTAAGACCAAGTTTTACTCAGGTACAAGCTCTCCCTCCTCTGCGAGGACAGATCTGCACGTTCCTCCCCCCCCCCCAATAGCTAGCAATCCAAAAGAATCCAGTGGAGCCTGAGCGGTGGGTGTTGCCTTCTGACACACTTCCGGTGATGTCAGGGGGTGTGGCATATGCATATAAGCTGTGCAAAGAGCTCCTGCACCTCTTTTTCTACGAAATGACCCCTGGTTAAAACCACATTTCTGTTAAAATGTGGCAGGAATTGTCAGCTATACCTAGTCCTTATGGACATCAAAGTTGCTTTTGGTGTAGTTGACCAGCTGATATTCTGGGAAAGACATTCTTGTACCTATGTGAATTTCTTTAGCTGAAGTTTTTAATTCGGATGGTGATCTGCAAGTTAGTTCTTCACATTCTAATACCAGTTTTGTGATGAGGGTTGTAAAACAAGCACATGCTATTGCACGTTTCTGTTTACTTTTTGTCCATTAATGTGATAACCCAAAGATAGCAATGACAGCTCTTATTCCCCTGGTGTGAATACTAGAAAGTTATCTATTTTTACTGTGTGCCAGTTACTTGTCCAGTTACGTGCTCTCTTGTCACGCATATAGAAATAGATCGTTCTTCCTTACTGTTGTTTTCCTTGGTGTTTTCGTCTGCAGAATGTACTGGTGATGATCACTTACAATAAAACCCAACCCAGTAATGCATAAAGAGCACCTTGATCCACACATTAGAACACACCTGCAGTCCTTACCAAAGAGGAGACAGGGCCGTCTTAATAGTGAAAGTGGTGCAGCTAGCATTAAGTTTCTAAGTTCTTGGAGGATATAGGGAGGCAGGTGGATTCCCCTGAATTCTTTAGAAATCACTTCAGCCTAATTTGCCCTTTACTGGACTGGGAATTTGAGAGGTTTGTAGGCCTCGAACCTTTCCAGAATAAAACTTTGTACACCATGCTAGCCTAGCAGTGTATCACTTGGGGATCGGCATTAAAAATCAAAGCAGATTGTCTCCATACAGTGGCATTATCCAAAACCAGAACGTAGAAGCCTGTGCCCGAAGGTGGCAGTGGGTGAGCAACCAGAAACTCTGCTGCCTGAGGGTTTGTTTCCCAGCAACTGGACAACAGGCGTCCCGTGAAATTGGATCATGCATTTAAAACAACACAGGATACGGCCATGGATACTATTATCTCTCTCATCAAAATTAATTTTTGAAAGGTCAATACTTCCTGATTTTACTGTCTTTTCTGTGAACATTCAAAGACTGAATGAAAGCTTGTATGATTGAAACTACATTCTCTACCTGTTCACATTTTTGCTTCTTCCTTGGTTTGGTGTATTTTTTTTTTTTAATTTTTTGGGGGTATGTTTGGTGTAGTGGTTAAGTGTGCGGATTCTAATCTGGGAGAACTGGGTTTGATTCCCCGCTCCTCCACTTGCAGCTGCTGGATGACCTTGGGCAAGCCGTAGTTCTGTCCGAGCTGTTCTCTCAAGGGCAGCGCTGAAAGAGCTCTTTCAGCCCTACCTACCTCACAGGGTGCCTGTTGTGCGGAGGGGGAAGGGAAAGGAGATTGTAAGCCGCTCTGAGACTCCGAGTAAAGGGCTGGGTACAAATCCAATCTCCTCCTCCTCCTCCTGTTGCTACTACTGTTGTTGAATCATTCTGAATCAGATGTGAGGTTTCAAGACGTTCATATTATGCAGGAAATGGTAATGTACATTATCTCTGCATCGTTCTTAGAAAGCACTGGGGGGGGGGAGTTATGAGCAGCTAGAACAGTATTTCTAAACTCTTACCTTAAAAAGTATGCGAGTCACTACTGTAAACAGCAAAATCTTTCATAGAAGGTTTTCTCAGCATTCCCCAGCATGTCTGTGTTTTTGCACAAAATAAATTGTGTGTGGGGGGGGGGAAGTGTGTGGAATGAGAGGAGAATAGTGGAAGAGAACCTGGATTCTTGAACGGTTTTTCTGGGCTGTCTCCTCTCTTCTCGGCTCGAGACCTTTAATATTGGAGGACTGGCGTAAGAAAACCGAATGACTGGTAATCAGTTATCAGAAAAGGTAACCTCATCCAGTAATGGATTGCTGAACGTCTCTTTGTTAGGGGGGAGCTCATTTTAGCTCAACAGTTCACCCATCTTGGCTGCAGAGGGTTAAGCAGATGGTCCAAAGATATGGCTCACTTCTTTTTTTTTTTTTTTTAAAAAGGGCATGAAGTCTTTATGCACAGAAAATTTTGGGAGACTCTGGGTTTGTGCTTAATGTATGTCTCCAGTACCAACTTGTGCTGGGAAGCAGTCTGCCTGATGTTACTAGCTATGTACTAAGCAATAATTTAAAGGTTCACGTAGGTGGTTTCATCAAATGACTTTGGTACCTTTTTTTGGTTTCTAATCACTTGATTAAGAAAGACACCACTTCAAAGTCTAAGTCAGTCCTCTTGGTCTTCACGGTCTCCCCTTCCTTTTGCTTTTAGTGTTCCAAGGATCCCTTGGGCTTTTGCCATGACCGAAGTGTGCGGGGTGATTCTCTGCTACATCTGGTTGCTTGTCCTCCTCCTTCACAGACACAGGTATGGTCGTTTTTTTAAATCGTTAACTCCCTAAATTTGGAGAAAGAGGCAGTAAAGACTTACGTGTGGGTGTTTGCACTGTCCACCATTGTAACAGAGAAATTTGAAGGCAGTTTGATACACCATTGAGGAGGAGAGCTAAAATCTGTTCCATACAGACAAGATGCATGGAGAGAGAGCAGGAAAATTAATCCCCTTCCCGCGGTGAGAGGTCTGTGTAGTGGGCCGGAGGGGGGTGGGTGGTCTCTGCTCCTGCCAAAGACCACTGTGTGGAGTCTCTTTTGGTATAACAGAGACACTGGTCAGCCTGTACGACCCGCTGCTGCACCCCGTTGGCACCCCGTTAACTGCGCTACAGTCATCAGTGTGCTTGTGATTGGCACGTAGGAAACCCGTTTGAAAAATCTCTGCTGCCCTTCTGCCAGCAGGAGAGATCTCGCTTGCTGAAGCTGACATGGAATCGATCTGGTGGTTCCTGTTCTCCCACCTGGGGTGCAGTCTGCTAAAACTTGAGTCCTGTATCGCCTTGGTTCTAACAGTTTGGTTACACGCGGCGGGGAATTGGATATGTTGCCCTGCAGGACCCGGTCCACCTGGTGACATCCGTACGTTGGAGACCAGGGGTCTAAGCACAGGGAGCCCGAATGTAGGGAGGGGCTGTGGCTCGGTGGCAGAGCATCTGCTTGGCATGCAGAAGGTCCCAGGTTCAATCCCCAGTGTCTCCGGTTGGCAAGGTCCAGGCAGTAGGTGATGGGAAAGGACTCTTCTGCCTGAGACCCTGGAGGGCCGCTGCCAGTCTGAGTAGACAACTCTGACCCTGATGGACCAAGGGTCCGATTCAGTAGAAGGCAGTTTCATGGGTTCATCGCTCATCACATTGGTCAAATCAAGATGAGAGGCAGTGATATCACTTGTTCCGGCCGACACACATGATCTCCTGGGTGAACGTGGCACTTGAGCCGCAAGGAGGGACTGGGAGGTAGGTGGCACAATTCCCACCCACCCCCTGCTTCTCCTGCACGGGGCTTTCGTTTCCCACCAGTGCCCCTGACTTGTTGATTACTTATCGTTTGGGCTATTGACAGTCCGCCTTTCTCACTGAAGAGGAGGAGAGGAGGAGATTGGATTTATACCCCGCCCTTCACTCGGAGTCTCAGAGCGGCTTACAGGCTCCTTTCCCTTCCCCTCCCCACAACAGACACCCTGTGAGGTGGGTGGGGCTGAGAGAGCTCTTGACAGAAACTGCTCTTTTTCAAGGACAGCTGTGCCAGAGCTTGTGACCGACCCAAGGTCACACCAGCAGCTGCAAGTGGAGGAGGAGTGGGGAATCAAACCCGGTTCTCCCAGATTAGAGTCCGCGCACTTAACCACAACACCAAACTGGCTCTCTGACTCGCAAGGCAGATTACAAAGCGTGAGTCAAGTGCAGTCCACCGGACGGGGCATCCCGTGATCAGTACAGTTGGGTTTGGACTACAGAAATGTGAGAGCAGACAGAGTGGAAACAGAGCATGAGCTTTTAAGCGTGATTCGTTTTGGGCGGGAGCTCAGCTGTGGCCCTTTGAGCTCTTGAAGCGCTGATGGTTTTCGAGAGCTGGGCCTGCTTGTTTCCGATTGGCTGCTCACCCAGGTCTACGTCTTCTCCTCCGGAGGCCTTAACGGGCTTAGCACAATAACTCTTTGTGCTCACCTCTGCAGACTGTTTTCTAGTCCTCTGTCAGGCACTGCTTTGCATGCGGATATGGTGTTGATGACAAAAGATCAGAAGCGCTGATGGTTTCGAGAGCTGGGCCTGCTCGTTTCCAATTGGCTGCTCCCCCAGGTCTGCGTCTTCTCCAGAGGCCTTAACGGGCTTAGCACAATAACTCTTTGTGCTCACCTCTGCAGACTGTTTTCCAGTCCTCTGTCAGGCACTGCTTTGCATGCTTTATTTGATCGCTTGAGGCAGACCACAGTAATTTTGAACGTGAGAGTGCAGAAGATCATTTGGAAGATCACGGGTTGTGATCCCAAAGAGCAGATGAAACGTCTTCTTCAAAAGGGCAGCAGGTGATACGAACAGTGCTCCCTTTAGCCCGGAAGAATCGGAAACACCTGATTCTGACATATGAGAAGAACTTGCCGTTGGAACAGCGCGTGGTGATTTTCCACGGCAAGAAGGTCCAGCACAGGAGAGCACTGTGCAAGGCATGGCTGGGGGTTCTCTTGTCCTACCGAAAAGGGCATGAGGGGGATTCCTTCCCCACACATTAGAACATAAGAGAAGCCAATGTTGGATCAGGCCAATGGCCCATCCAGTCCAACAATACCAGGGGCCACCAGGAGGTCCAGCAGTGGGGCCAGGACACTAGAAGCCCTCCCACTGTTGCCCCCCCAAGCACCAAGAATACAGAGCATCCCTTGACCCAGATGGAGAGTCCCTACCTATACCTTGTGGCTAATAGCCACTGATGGACCTCTGCTCCGTATGCTTATCCAGTTCCTTATAAGAACATAAGAGAATCCAAATGTTGGATCAGGCCAGTGGCCCATCCAGTCCAACACTCTGGGTCACACAGTGGCCAAAAATTCCAGGTGTCCTCAGGAGGTCCAGCAGTGGGGCCAGGACACTAGAAGCCCTCCCACTGTGCCAAAAACAACTAGAACACAGAGCATCACTTGAGCCAGATGGAGAGTTCCTACCTATACCTTGTGGCTAATAGCCACTGATGGACCTCTGCCCCAGATGTTTACCCAATTCCCTCTTGAAACCATCCATCCTTGTAATACTATACATTGTTTGTGTCTGTGTCTTTAATGGCGCAGGTGATTTCTCCGAGTCTTTGACAGCACACCCAAACGTAGCCCCAGAGAAGCACTCCTGTCCAACATATTTCTGATTTCCAGATTTTTACAACTACAAATTCTGAGCTTAAAAATGGTCTCCTGGCACAGTATAAATCAGGGGTCCCCAACCATTTTGAGCCTACGGACGCCTTTAGAATTCTGACACAGCCACAAAATGGCTGCTGTGGGAGGTGGAGCCAGCTACAAAATGGCTGCCGGGGCTTCCTTTCTGTCACACAGAGAAGATCCTTGTGCTTTGGTGGCCACCGCTTGCCAAAATAAAATAGCTGTACAGCCAATCAGAAGGCTTGCTGGGCAAAGGTCCCACCTGGCCCTGCTCACTTTCTAAAAACACTTGGGGGGGCGCCAGGAAAGGTGTCGGCAGGTGCCATGGTATCCCTGGCTACCACATTGGGGACCCCTGACATGAATGCCCTGCATATGCACTGGGGCGCGTGGGATACAGAAGTAAATGTTCCTGCTTATTTCTAGGTCTATCCTTCTGCGGCGAATGTGCAGCCTTATGGGTACCGTATTTCTGTTGCGTTGCATTACAATGTTTGTCACCTCTCTGTCGGTACCAGGCCAACACCTGCAATGTTCTGGAAAGGTATGATTTATTTATTTATTTATTTATTTATATTTATATATTTTTTTCAATTTCTATCTTGCCCTCCCAAAGGCTCAGGGCAGCTCACATGCGGCAAAGCCGAGATATAAAATACAACATATAATAAAATACAACATTTAAACCACAGTAAAACCTTCCTATAACATGGTGCTGTACCTATATTAATCATCCAAGATGGGGACAACCCCCCCCCCAGGTTTGGTGGCCAGCTGTCTCAGTAGCGTGGTCTCCCACTACACTGCCTCAAACTTCTGACAGGGCCCTGCTTGCCCCCGTTCTTATAGGGCAGCCCCTCCCCCCGAAAAAAATCCCTAGCTGCTTTTGCTAAATGGAATTAGTTTGCGATGAGCAAGTTTGTCTTTGTAGTGTTGAAACGGGGTTCAGTGGTCCCTCGTTGATTTAATTAAATGCCATGGGCTTCACCTTGGCCCAGTGGTGTAAAAGGAGAAGCATGTTAATTTGGCTTCAGAAAGTGCTTTCTTGCATCTTCACAGAGGCTGGTTTCTGCCTGTGACCCAGACAGTCAGGCCGTACGGAGCTAGACTATTGTTATGCACTCTACAATTATCGTCAGGAGCTAGATTATGCCTGTTATACCTGATCTGTGGTAACTCCGTTGGTTGTGGTCATTTCTGGGTTCAGCCCAAGGTGTTGGTTGTTACTTATGAAGCCCTTTCCTGGCCTACCACACCCATCACCTGCAGAACCACCCGTGTCAGTGTGCTCCCCGGCACAGCTTTGCTTCTCTGCGCAGAGCCTTCCGAAGGTGCCACCCTGCAAATGGATAAGATGAGTGGCCACCAGTGTTCCCTCTAAGCTGAGTTAGTGTGAGCTAGCTCACAGTTTTTTTAGCCTCCAGCTCACAGATTTTTGTCTTAGCTCAGGAAGGATGGCTCCAGAGCAAACTAGTTTATGCAGTAGCCAAATCACCTGCTCACAACTTTAATGGCAGTAGCTCACAGAGTAGAATTTTTGCTCAGCGAACTCCAGAGCTTAGAGGGAACATTGGCGGCCACCCATACCCCTGAACGCTCTGTGTGGTGGCTCCTCCTCGGTGGAATGGCCTCCCCCTCCAAGGTCAGGAAGGCTCCCGGGCTTTTCGTGTTCTGCAAAATGAGTAAAACAGCGCTTTTATCAAGGGCAATGGGGTGGTTAGAAAAAAGGGAGCTCGGGATGGTGTCAGTCGGTCTTCCCTTCTCCATTTTACCCTTGTAACGACACTCTGGAGTGGATGAGGCGGAGGCGGAGGGCCTGTCCCACTGAGCTTAATGGCAGAGTGGAGATGTGGCTCCAAGTTTCCCCAGTCCTGGTCTACATTCTTACCTGCTGCATCACATTGTAGCGGCCTTATTTAAGCTACATATTATGCAAATTGAAGAGACTGAGGTTACATAGGAGTAGTATATAAATACTCTAAATAAAGAGTGGACACGCTGGTGTAATAACATGAAGGTTTTGCCTAACTTGGATATATGTGCAACAAGGACATAGATTACGTGGGACAGAACAGAGTTTGAGTCCAGTGGCACCTTTAAGACCAGCAAAGTTTGATTCTGAGTATAAGCTTTCGTGTGCAGGCACACGAAAGCTTATACTCAGAATCAAACTTTGCTGGTCTTAAAGGTGCCACTGGACTCAAACTCTGTTCTGTCCCACGTAATCTATGTCCTTGTTGCACATATATCCAAGTTAGGCAAAACCTTCATGTTATTACACCAGCGTGTCCACTCTTTATTTAGAGTATTTATATACTACTCCTATGTAACCTCAGTCTCTTCAATTTGCATAATATGTAGCTTAAATAAGGCCGCTACAATGTGATGCAGCAGGTAAGAATGTAGACCAGGACTGGGGAAACTTGCTTCCTTTAGGAGGTGCTATTGTCACGAGAAAAGAAAAAGGTTTCAGTTTTGTTTTTGCATGTGGGTGGGTATTCTGTTTGTAATAATTGTTTGGATACACTATATTTTTAATAGGCTAGTTGTGATAATTTCATGCCGAGTAAGAATGTCCATAGTCATATTTTTCAATTTTTCCAAAAAATTCTGTAGACTTTTATGGGGGTTCAAGAACGACACAGCGCACAACAGATGTCTTGAAGCTACAGATCAGCTCTGTCTCTCTCTCTGTCCCAAGCTCCCTGTTCATCTGACAGGCTGTGTCACAGCAGCATTTTATTAGCATCAAACAGCTCACACATTGCACAGTGAAATTCGTTACAACAGAGCAAAAGACTTTGTAAGCTAAACAGCACAGTGAGAAAATGTTAGATAGTGGCCTCTATGCAAAAATCACACTATGTACTCTTCACAGGCAAAATTATCCTTGAATGTTGCAAAGCTTGTGTCTTGAAGCAGTTCATTGTACTCTTCAGTAAAACTACAGACTTATGCAGACTCAGCTAAGAATGTGCCTTGCTCGCCAATCTCCCGTTGCCAATCTCACTGTGACTCCTTGTGAAAGCAGGAGCCCTCCCTGTGACAACAGGAGCCTCTCCGGGTGTGCCTCGCAGAGATTTTCCTATTGCCACAAAATTCCATTTTTTCCCGAGCTTCAAAATTTCCGGAAATTTTACATCTCTATACCCACCTGAATCTCTGTATAAGGGAGTGTTGCTTTTAGGGCATGGTAGGATGGAGAGCCCTGATCTGGGTGTGGCGCAGGCGGGCCCAGTCCCATCAGATCTCGGAAGCTAAGCAGGGCCGGCCCAGGTGACTCCTTGGATGAGAGACCAGCAAGGAAGTCCAGGGTCACTGGGCAGAAGCAGGCAAGGGACGAACCACGTTCTTGCCTTGAAGGCCTTACGGGGCCATCCTAAACCAGCTGCTGCTTGATGGCACCTCCCACCACCACCCTACGGCAAGCACGACTCCTGGTTTTACACGTTTTAATCGGTTTTAAATTTCATTGTATTTATTAAATTGTTGAGCCCTGAGCCCATTTACAGGATAAATGCAAATAAATAAATAAATGGGATAGATATTTATGCCAGGGGTGAAGAGCAAAAAAACCCTTTTTTCAGCCAGCTATTAGGAAGAGTGCTGAACATCTGGTGCCTGCCCTGCAGAATGTGGGGGTGATCGTGGTCACGTTGCACCGATGCTTGCTGTGTATGCCAGAGTTCTATTTTGGGCTTGACTGTACTAATACTCAGTCTTAACATTCTGTGCCACGCCTTCCTTCTAGCTGTACGGCAACGTGTGGGCGAAACTTCAGCGAGCCTTTGCGATTTGGAGTGGGTTTGGCATGACACTGACCGGAGTGCATACCTGTGGGGATTACATGTTCAGCGGTCATACCGTTGTCTTGACGATGCTGAACTTCTTTGTCACAGAATGTAAGTATAGTTTTAAAAAGCACGATGATGCATCTAGGTGTATCTCTTAATTCATCCCCCTCTTATCATATGGTTAGATCATTGGCCATGGGTGTGGGGACACTCAGTTTCCAATCCCCTCTCTGCTACGAAGTCACCGGGTAGCCTTGGGCCGGCTGGTATCGCTCGGCCTTGCCTACTTCACGGAGTTGTTACGGAAGGCAAGGGAGAGCCATGTGTGCCGGCCTTACCGCCTTGGATGAACAACAGGATAAGAACCCTGTAGGACACGGGTGGCCAAACTCGCTTAACGTAAGAGCCACATGGATATAAATGTCAGATGTTTGAGAGCCGCAAGGCATGCACAAATACAACCCACACATTTTTATTGAATAATACGCTGATTTGCTTTTTATTAACATTAAATGAGACTGCCAAAAAAATAAAACAAAAAGGGTAAAAACGGATATTGATAATGATATTTAACTTTAGATGGGGAGGGCAGAGAGAAAGATACATAGAGAGAAAGAGAGAAAGGTGGAAAGAAAATGGAAAGAAAGCAAATAGATGGGGGGAGGGAGAGGTGGAAAGAAAGCAACTTTAACTTTAAATGCATCTTCCAAGACCCCCCATGCCCCCCCCGCTCCAGCTGGCTTGGCTTGGAGAAGGGATTTAAAGAAGAAGAGGAAGAGATTGGATTTATACCCCGCCCTTCACTACCCAAAGGAGCCCCAGAGCGGCTTACAAACTCCTTTCCCTTCCCCTCCCCACAACAGACACCCTGTGAGGTAGGCGGGGCTGAGAGAGCTCTTGACAGAAACTGCTCTTTCAAGAACAGCTCTCATCAGAACTATGGCTTGCCCAAGGTCATCCAGCAG